TTACAGGCCATTAGATAACTAGTTGTATATCAACCGATGGCCGAGTGAGACTAGATATGGATTACGTGTTACACACAGGAAGGTTATCTGTCTTTTTGGATTTAGGTCATAGAGATCTATATGGTTCATAATGGCATCAATGAAAACAAGCTTTCCATCTCCACTTGTGTCATACAAGAGCAAACCATAATGGATGCAGCCCATGTTTTACAGTTGGACGTGAAATTTTAGAACTAAGAGTAGTATTTGGCTTTTTGGGGTAACAATGCGACGACCCATCAGTACCAAATATATTACATTTCCTCTCATGGCTGAAAATGATCTTTCTCCAAAAGTTCTGTATCCAAAAGTTCTGTATGTTTCTCGCAGTTTAATACGACAGATACGACAGTGTTCTCTTTCAAACAAAAGCAGAAACAAAACTAATTACCTATATCATCGTCAATCACGTCGTACTTGTGAAATAAATACTTCATTTCTAACTGAGCCTTTCTATTTCTTAAATTTATATCATTACATTCATTTATAAAATTTCTGAAACCAGAGTTCGTTTTGCTCATTTACCCTCTCTACATTTTTTTTTACTTAAATCTACCATTCAAAATTCTGCTCAAAAGAACCCTGGCGAATTATTTTTCAATGTTCTTACTTTTTAAAATAATATATTTTAAATCTATTAACTGACTATCAGATGGAACGCCTTATAAGGAACAAATCTTCTGATATATTCTTCTGTAGAATGTCTTTAAAAGGTTGCTAGCTCTGTCAAACCGCAAAGCAATTTTGCACTTAAAAAAATCATACAGATATAACACAATTTATGTTTCTATTTAACGTATATTGATAAAAACGAGAAAAGAATTCTTGAAGTTACTTACATAACTTCAGTTTCATTCTTTCAATCCCAACCACACTCCTACTAATCCATCCCTGTTGGGAAATCGAACACAAAAACCCACTCCTGCGCTCACCCGCTTGGACTGCTACTTTTGCTGAACTCTGCGCATTCTTCTGGAGTCTTTTTAAGCAGCGCCATCTATTGGCCAATTATAACCACGTGTACCAAAATCATCGCGACGGCTTTTTTTTTTTTTTTTTCTTTTTAACCTTCCAAATACTCATGCAAAGTTGTCGTAATTAGTGAGATACCGTGCTTCTACGTATAATATGGTAATCAAAGATCGTTGTTAGAGCCAGTGTAACCGGTGGAATCAGGATACAGCAGAGTTTACGGATGGCAAAATTTTTAGAATTTCAAGAAATAATGTGCAGCAGAATTTAGGGATGGCAAAATTTTTGGAGTTAAGAGAAGGCACTAGGTAGCTGAAACTAAGGGGGACAAAATTTTCAGAATTTAGGACCCACAAAGATTGTACCCAGCGGTAAAATGCTTAGCGCCCCCGTTCGTGATGGTAGCTAAACGTAAGGTCAATCGAGCAAAAAATGAATCTCATCTTAGGTGTTGGTAACTTCATCCATTTTTCAACTACTTTCGGTTGTAAAAAACAACTTTTGATTCCCCTTTACCTTTTTCCCACGCAAAATGTACTCAATACAGAATTTTCCAGTTTTTTTTCTTTAAATCCGCGTTGCAACTAATATAGCAGTACAAGTGCCCAGTAAGTTAGTATGCAAGCAGCAAGATTGTTACTAAAATCAGGAAAAAATTAAAAAATATATTAATATTTAAAGGGTATTTTCTTACACGCTTGCCTTCGAAGTGTAACTGGAAGCACATCCGACATGTAATCCCGAGGTCCAAAGTTCGAGTCCCGGTAATGGCACGGCAGATTTCTTCAGGTTCTTGACATCGAAAAATTAAAAGGTTTTACAATGGCACCCGAACTAAAAGGTGGTAGACGATAATTCGTCGCAAACAGGATTTGGCGGTTGAGTCCACTTATCCTCAGTCGCCCTTTAAGAGGAGGCGTATATAAGGTATTTTCTCCTTCCTTTCCGCATGCCATTGTGGTGCAGCTGGATAGTATGTCCGACGCGTAATCAGGGGGTCCAGATTTGGAGTCTCGGCGAGTGCTTTGTTGATTCCTTCGATTTTCTGGCTTCTAAACGTTCTCTGCGTACTAAACAGATATTCTAGGTTTGGGTTCAGCTGAGAATAAAATTGTCGAGGCTGAGTTAGGAAATGACAGCAATGAGATGTCAATATTTTTGCCGGGAGATATGCATCAAGCATAATTGAATTTCTTTCTCTACGCACGATGATCTTTAAAACTCGTAACATTGTAACTTCCTTATCATAATGAGCTTTTGCAGGCGACAACATAAAATGAGAAGAAGTTATGCTGGAGCCACGACATATCTCAGTAATCGAGTAATTTTCTTTTTAACTCCTAAAAATATTAATGTATTTGACGTTATCCGAAAGTAAGTACTTCATGTAAGTACCAAATCTCCTTAAGGGTAATTTTATCCGAGATTCGCATACCGCTGTTGTATTTTCTTAGGCCATGAGTTCTAAGAATCATAAAAGCGTTCATAATAGCAAAAGTATTTCCTGCGCAAATTTTAAATCTCAATTTAACATCTGTTTACAGAGAACAAAATATGCTGTTCCCATAGCAAAACTTTCAGAAGTTGCATATGTTATAGCATACAATGAATGGGAAATATAAACAAAACATCAACATCTTTTGGTGCTTACATATTATCCTGTCGAATGTGAAAGTTGGCTACGATTAAATCTTGAAAGCTGACGGAAATCCAGCCAAAGTTGCGCTAATCGTTTCCGAGGAGTTCTGAAGCACCTGATATCTCTTTATTTGATGAATAACGAGTACTTTCGATTTGCTCCATTTTTGCACCGCGTAAAAAGGCTTTCGTCTATTTTATTTTGCAAGGCCTCTGGATTTTACTGAAACCTCTGTTTAGATAACATGAATACAAATTCCCGCAAACCAAAAAATTGTTCCAATCTATTACTGTTTTGTTGGCTATATTCAGCCGACCATATCGTGTTCATTAATACACACTTCTTTAAAAGCAGGATTCCATAAGGCAGGCTCTAAATTTTAATAAGTTTCTTCAAAATCCAAGGGAAAAATGTACAGGAATGATAATTAATTTATATCCTTGTTCATTACCCCCAGCTGTCATTTATTGTACCGGCTAGGATCGGTACATGGACAGGATCGGCGCCGGAGAGAAAAACACGAGCCTGACAGTTTTCGAAGGTCTGTGGTAAAAAGGCATTATCCCAACTTTTCATACTTTGATACTTTGTTGGTTATTCTGGCATGCTGCGGGAGCGGCATGCACTACTCCTACTCCTCCCAGATTCCTGAAGGAGTCACCTTAGGGTCCTGGCGTATGTAAAAGTCCAAAGATGAAGTTTCTCCGGTTGAGATAGCCTTGTAAAAGAAAAAGAGAAGTGAAGCTCTGATCTTCGGTGATCAGGTAGTCATGTCTGGAGCAGCTGCAGAAGGACAGGAAGGAGGAAAAAGCTGTCCGGAAACACGTTAAGTGGTTTGTAGAATCCGAAACGTGGTGAGCTTGCAAACTATTACACAATACAGAAAAAATACATGTATGCAAGAAACATTAAAGAAAAATCCTATGTACAATATAAAACAATATCTGTTCTGACAAAACAGCAATTAATTGGAAGTGATGAATTCTTGAGTAAATAACAGGAAGAAATAATACGAGATAACCTATATAGTAGTTTAAGCCTGCAATCTGTAGTATTAGTAGTGGTGTAGCAGTTGGTCTGTTAAACATGAATTCTGTGTACTGCAGGGTAATTAATATACGTGTGAGGTGCATCCCTTATTAATCGGTCTCTAGTTAACGCAGTATGATAGTGGTACTGGTGGGTAGCAAAACAGCTAATCAAATCTTCAGACTAATATAGCCGCACCCCGCTATGAGTTCCGGGATCCAGGAGTGGTGACCTCGCGGGTCCAGTTGGAATGGTTAATTTAGATAAGGTTTTTGAAAAGTCTGTCGCCGAGTGATTGTGGGATTAGCGGCAGGTAAAATAGACTACTGAGCTCTTCAGAGCGGCTTTTTGCCTGATTCCTGCATACTGCCTAATATGGATGTTTCCGGAAAAGGAACAGGACACTAGGACAATAATACCTTGAACGTAACAATAATATCCTTGTTCATAAAAACAAAAAATTACTTACTTATTCGAGTATCAATCGGAGTTAGATTAAGCGAAAGTGCAGGTGTTAATGAGTGTTTTGGTGTGTCACGCTTATGCATAATTAAAGTTGAATCGCGCTGCTTGGAAATCGATGGTATAATACGTTAGCACCTAGCTTTTGTTTCTTAAAACTGTCCCTGTCTATTGTGCCAATGATGGTCGAAAATGATGTCAGTCGCGTCACTGTTTGGTCGCCTTTTTTAAGACTTATTTCAGTTCTTAGTAAAAAGGGATTGAAAGTGAAACCTTTGAACTATTATGTAAATTTTACGCCACGGTTGATAACGTAATGCGATGTAGTTTCATAGAAACGAAATTGGATTTATGAGATTTGAAATGCTTACGCCATACTCTTAGCCCTCTTTAACCCTCTGATATGACTTCATAACTTAGCCCCTAATTTCGAAACAGATCCAAGATCAAGTCCCAAAAAGTAGTATCTAACTGCTCAACTTTAATACGCGAAGTAAAATAATGAACTTGGCACGATGTTCTCAATTAGAATATAATCTTTAGAGGATTTACATTTCACAACCCTTTGTAGCATTTCATGCTTTTCTGTATAAATACTTTATTTTACACTAATGCATAAAAGTGCTCGTTGTTAGTACCCACTACTGAAAGCATATTAAGTTTAAAAGATTTGTTTTATGCCAATATTACGGATTTACTAAAACCTTTTGTGTTTTCTTTGCATAAAAATGTAACAGTATAATGCAAAAGAGCTCGTCCCCCTTTTTAGTGATCCAAATGTCTTATAATAACTTTCATCAAGCTCTTCTCCTGTCATAATTTTAGTTATTTATTAATATTCACCATTTATTTTTTTAAGGTAAATGATGGAGAAAGATTGGACATGGCTTGGCATACTTGTTATTGCGCTAATCGTTGGATGCGACGCCTTCCAGAACTTTACTGGGTAAGAAAATTAGTTGAAATGAAAAATGCAATAAAATTCAGTACTATTTTTAATTTTTATAATACTCTCTCTACTATATATTAGTTATTTATTTGTTGCTGTTAGTAAATATCCTAATTATCCTCAGTAAGTATTCGTAATTATAATAAAATGTAATGAATCTGTTACTAGTAAGCTAAAATCTCTTTTGCAGTGTTTAACTATATTTTTAAATCTAATGAAAGCAAACAAATATGGTTATTTTTAATATGAGCAAAGCATAAAACCAATGTTTTTTTTATTCTGCGTCAATAAATAGAACCGGCTTCCTGCGGTAATCTAATCAATGATTACCAAAATAATTTGAAATTATCAAAAGCGCACGATCTACAGCTTTTGCAAAACCATTTTTGCAATCGAAATCATGGGGCTATGAAAATAATTTAAAGATCAATAATCATACTCTAAATAACTAAATTAATGCTACAGGTCTACCTGTTAGTGGCATTTATAGTCAGTTACATATTAAGCATTGCTGGAAAAGGAAATTTTAGTTTGGAATTTTGCGAATCAGGCAAATTATTACCTGCTTACAAAGCATTCATCTATAATATAGAGAAAAGTTGACTTATCTAAACCGAATGAAAAAAAAAGCTATGACTGTACGATTTTTCAGATGTATGTCATTAGTAATAAAATATTGAACTCCAAAATGTGTTTTGGAGTATCTTCATATCAACTCTGTCTTATTGAGAAATTTCTCTTCAAGCATTTTTGATGTGCTGAAGTTGCTCTTCATAGGAGTTTCTTCTAGACAGTAGAAGAATGCAGAAATAGTACATGTCCCATAAAGCGCAAACAACTGACTACAGATTAATATCCAAAGGAACATACAATGGTACATAAATGAAGTGACTTTCAAAGAAGTTATTATGAACAGTTTTGAGATAACAACATAAACAGCTAATGATAAAATGTACATTTTGGTATTTACGAATTATTTTGTTAACTGGGCCGAAGCTTATACATTTTCTCAGCAAGGATCTACGACTAAGTTCTTATGTATATGGCTGTCTTGTTTATGAATCTCTTTTTACAGGCAACAACTATTTTGCTATTTTTGAACAAGTGGAGAAATATTTCGCAGTAGAGACGTCTCAATCGTGACACATTCAGTCAAGCAGCATGATAGAGCCATTTCATTGAATGAACTTGGAATATCTTCATTTGCGTGTTGGTAAAAAAGCTATTTGAGAACAGAACAATTTATTGAACATAACTTCATGGAGGCCCGGTGGTGCAGTGGCTAGCGCATCGCGCAGCAGCACCACAGGTCTGGGGTTCTATCCCCAGGCTGGGCCGTGATCTTTGAGAGGGAGAAGGCCATGACACTAGTCGAACAAATCAAAGATGAGTCATGCTTTCCGTTCATCGTTTCTCCACCATGAGTTTTGTAACTACCTCTCGAAGGTTACGTCTCTCGACTCAACCTTTCATCCCTTGATTTTCATCCCTTGGGTAGATAAAATGAGTACAAAGTTCGCTTGGAGACTAAACACTGGGGGTGCTGCGATAAGATGACCACTTGTTCAAGGCATATGCTAACGCACCTCCGGGCAAACGGTCAAGAAAGCAGATTTCGGGGCACTACTGGCCTTGGCCCCCTAGGGCTGTTGCGCTACTGAGTTTAGTCTAGAACGTCATGTTTGTTCTACATTTTTTCCATCGTAAATGATCTGAAAAACCTGTGCTTATCTTAATTGTTAATGTTCTGAACTGTTTCCGAATGCATCTCCTTCATCTGAACAACACCTTTGAAACTAGCGATACGTTTCGCAGATTTACAACAGTCATCAGTGAAGGGATTAGTGTGTACGACTTTAAAACAGCAGAACAGTAACTCAAGAGAGAAAGATCGGTATGGTAGAGAAACCCAAAATATCCATCGAGACTTTCTCACATTCTTAGACAGTTAGGAAATCTTTACAGTACGGCGTAAGCATTACAAACGGTACAAGCAGAACTTCGTTGCTAGGCAAAAAAACTGCGTTATACTGTCAACTAAAACTTTCAAATCTGAAAGTTTTAGTGGTTTAGTTTAGAACGTCATTGAATAGTTGTTTAGTTTAGAACGTCATTAGTTCGTATTAGGCTTAAAATTATTTTTAACTGAAAAATTTTGAAACTTAGAGCTTTTGTGTTAAAATATGAAACTGTATAATTCTTCGTTAACCAAGCTTTTTTCATTTGCAAATGGATATTGGGAAGAAATGGGAATTTTAGAAATCGCAGCAGAGTTTTTTTTATGCGGGATTTGGTAGCGTATCAGGTACGCGGAAAGTTGACTTTCTGTGGTTGGCTGTGCTTAGAATTTACATTCTACAGTTTTTGGCAGTGTGACCGCTTATACAATGCTTAGCATTCATAATATGGTAACAGATATGTTTTGGTCTTGAAGGGAACGTAATCGAACCCACCATTGAGAAACTAGATTTGACCACTAAGTACCTAATATACAAGGTGTGACAAAAAAAAAAAAAAAAAAAAAAAAAAAAACGAGATTGGTCCAATAAAATCATTATACTTACAGAATCAGTTCTCCGTGACATTATCACCTTCAAAGTAGTCCTCTTCAGCGTTCACACACTTCTGCATTCGGTGCTGTCATTGCTGGTAACAGTTCTGGAACGAATGTTTTGGAAGGCCCTTCAGGAGATTCTCCGTTTGTGCCTGAACCTCTTCAGGTGAGGTAAAATGGATTCCCTTTAAGTCAGATTTAACTTTAGGGGAAAAAAAACGTCGCATGGAGCAAAATCAAGTGAATAAGGAGGATGCCCCATCACAGTAATGTTTTTGCTGGTCAGAAATTGCTCGACAGATAGCGCCGGGTGAGCGGGTGCATTGTCCTGGTGCAACAGACTGTGGCCTTTTTGTTTTCCTAATTTTTTCTCGAAGTCTTTTCAGTACTTCAATGCAGTAGTATTGATTAACAGTCTGACCACTGGGAACCCATTCAATCATGATGAAAGCCTAAGGGTTAGGTGCACGTTCCTCATCTTCCACACTGTCCCTTTCCCCTGAAAACCGCTTATACCATTCAAACACGTGCATGAGACAAAATTTCATCTCCATAAGCCACGGTTAACATTTGAAATGTTTCCTCTTTGATGATTTTTAAGTTTCACAAGAAACTTGATGTTGATTCGCTGTTCGGTTTTTACATTAGACACTTTTCCGGCAGAATGCAGTTGCACGTGTTCACTCAATGGCCCCGCCGGCGTGGTCAGTTAAGTCGAAACTGGCCGCATGGATAGAGGAGGTGTGTGGCATGAAGTCATCAAAACAGTTGTTGCCAACTCCACTCTGTTTTCAAGCTACAAACTTATAGTCTCTTTTTTTTTTTTTTTTTTTTTTTTGTCACACCTCGTACCATTGAGAAATTAAGTTTATCTATTGAGTAGAAAATACATCATTGACAAACTACGCGTTCCGGATCCAAAGGACACGTACTTGTAAACTTCCCATTATTATGTTTCAGTCGTATATTCCTGTGAATCTGAATAATGCCCTAAATCACCTAGCTCTACAATAGATTAGTTGCTTATTAGCCACATTCAGTAAGTATCCTCATTATTCTCAGTAAGTATTCGTAATTATTTGCCACTTAAATACGTACTTTTAGAATTTAAAAACTGCGTCTCTTATCACTCAGTACAAAGTTTCACCACCTGTAAAAATTGTTTATATATTATGATGATCAGGGTTGTCAGTTTAAGGAATTTGGTGAAATTCAGAGATAAACTGTCATTTTGAAAATATTACCACATTAAAGATACTTTAAAGTTTACCGATTCTTTCGTGAATTTATCAGTATCACTATTAAGAATTGAAAGTTTGAGTGTTCGAGAATAAGCTACGTCCATTCTTATTATACAAAGAATTGATGGTGAAATCAAAACTCAATCTTGGTTGTGGTTCTAGTGATGGATAACACAAGGTTATAAAATATTCACAGATTTATGTAAGCTTGTGAATAAATTTGACAAGTTTTGATGTACTAAAATATAAAGCGAGCTTTCACCAGAACTTGTATGGAATTGTCAGTAGTATCCCTATTTTGATTTCACAGAATGTGCATGAATATCGCACCTCATTGAATGTTCAAGACAGCACCTTTCTGAAGCAATAGAGTTCATGAAAATACTGCAATGGAGACTGAGAATTCAGATGCCAATATGCATTATGATATTATTAGATATCTGTAGGTATGCTGAACTTGATTGATGCAGTCTGAATGTTTGTTCTTATCTGATAATCTTATGCGTTTTCAGGCACAAACTTATTGCCATGGTACCACGTAATTCTGAAGAAGTGGAGACTTTAAGAAACTTTATGGAAGATCCCGAGGTAAAGCCAATTCATCTAAACTGTTTGTTTTCTTAATTTAAAATTTTTATTTTGTGGTTCTGTTATTGCTATTATTATTATTATTATTTGCATTATTTGAAGACAGTTTGGTTTTACAGCTTTCGATCAGAATTTAATATCCTTAAACCAGGTTTTATTGGAAAGATTTCCCATTTCAAAGTTCAGAAGATATTTTTTTTTCAAACTTTATTTTAATTGTAAAGCACTGAAGCGCAGTTTGGTCAAAATCATGTAAATATGAGTCCTTAGATATTCTAATAACATATGAAATTTGAAAACTTTACAATTGCTATTATCTCTTGAATTTTATACTTTTAGTAACGACGAAAATGCTAAAAAATATAATCATTTACGATACCTTCAAACTGAAAATTGGCTACTAAATTTAAAGGCCTAAAACAATTGTTTTGGCTGCTTTCTGCTCTTGACATTGCAGTATTAAGATTTCGTCCTTAAAATGCTGGAAATCTAAATTAACTAATTCATTCTTTTAAATTTCTTTCTTTGGATGCGCAAGACGATACTGAGGTTATTTTAAGTGAATAAACTGAATGCCAGAGGTACAACATGGTATTGATTGATGCAAGAAAGTGGAAATGATTCTAAATTTTTTTTTTAAATCTTCTCATATGGTATGAAGTGCATTATATTTAAGATTATTCTTTATTTTTATTTTTATTTATTGTTTTTTTTTAATAATAAGAGAAAATTAAGCTCTTCATTTTTAGTAAATGTTATGGGAATTCAGAGTATAATTTTTAACTTCGATAATAGTCAACAATATATAGGGTACGAGTAATTTTATTAAATTTTATAAAATGAAAATTTATTAATGAATATCATAATTTTAGGTTGATTTCTGGATGGAACCAACTCGTGAAATGCAAAACGTTACTGTTCACGTGCCCCCTAAAAGAGCGGTTGAGTTAGAAGGAACTCTCCGAACAATGGGTCTTCAGTTTTATACCATTACAGACAACTTGCAAACGTAAGTTTACATTGCTCAGTTAATATCAATACAATATTTGTAATGAAATAAATGATACAATAAAAGTACGTGAATATTCAACTGATTTAAAACAAATTAAAATTCTTTATACTTATACATCAGTTTTAGTAATATATTGGAGTTATTTGTGCACAATATAATGTATCAGTTTATCAACCTAAATCTTGAAATGTTACTAAGAGACTGAGTTAACGTTCGAATTTGTTCCATTTTTAATTTGCTCATTTTTTCTATTAAAGGTTGTTTCTTTCTTAGTTCCCTATTATTTTTGTGTACAGATACAGGTACAAATGGACAGCACATGAGAAATTCACCATTTATCGTATAAGTGTAGTTTTGCAGCACTAACTGTGCATTTCCGTCCCAATTTTGAGGAAGACCACCCCGGGGGGGCTGGTCCAACGATCTTCCTCTCCTCTTTCCCTACCACCAATCTCTCAACATGGACTTTCGGCTCGTCGTGTACTTTGAGTGCCACTTTGCCGCAATAGGCAATTATTTGCTTACTAACATCCATTCCTTCTCCGGGATTCAACCCCAAGCCTTTTGGTATGACAGGGCCAGCGTCACTAACCAATATCCTGGCAAGGCTGCCAGTCTCATATATATATATATATATTTTTCCAAAGGCGCGGACTTCCTTATAACGGCAATAGCCATTCCTAATGCCAGAAGTGGTGGCCATTTTATTGTGGAGGCACCTAACAGGCGGCCACCGTTACCTCCAATGAAAGGTCAGACACTTTTACAGTCTCCGATGAAAGGACAGACACTTATGCCTTCTCCGGGATTAGAACTCGAGCTCTTCGGTATCGCAGTAAGGCTTTCCTAACCACTAAACCGTCTGGGCGGCTCCAATCTCGTATATAGAATGCCCTATGTCTAAAAGGTTTCAATTGGAGAAAATAAAGAATATTTGATGAATTATCCTATTTAGAAACATAAGATTTAATAAGTTGTAGATTGTGCAAAAATTCAGAAAGGTATTAAGAAAGAGAATGCATGAGTCATAAAAAAATTCCTTATCAGACCTTCCTTATTATATTATCAAGCTTAAAAATATTTAGTCAATTTAAGCAGCATTTACCGTCACAAATATTAGATTTTACCGATACTCACTATTTCTAGAAATTTTTGTCTATTAAGAACTGACAGAAAATTAAATAAGTTTTTGGAGTTCCATCTATCGGTAAACGGTTGAAAACGTCAGCTTCTAACAAGACATATCACACAAAACAGTTTCGTCTCATGCATTTTTTTGGTGTGAATTCCCCCCCCCCCTTTTTGGCATTTTAAAGATAATCCAGATGAAAATTTCCTAATTTTTGTTCTGGATGAAATTTTGTACCGTTTTATAGTTTTTTCTATATACGTTGGAACTTTCTTTCGATTCTGAGATTATAATGAATTTTTCGGTACAAAGCATGAAATTGCTTTACAAATTTCGTAACCTAAAGAGCCGTTATTGATCATCTCTGAGCTGCTGATTTACCAGGTTATATATAACACTCTTTTAAAATATTACCGTTATTTAAACTAGAAATAACTGAAGTTTGCTACCATTTGTATTTATTTATTTATTCATTTTTGGCAGATGGATTGAACGCGAGAGAGAAGAAAATAACCCAGGTAATCATTTTTCTGGTAGAACAGCCGGATTTGCTTTTGACGTTTACCACCCCTTAGATGAGGTAAGATTTTTAAGATAATTTCTTTGGATCTAAGAATAAGAAAGTAAATCACTCAGTTCATATTTTTCAACACGATATCAATCAATTAAATATTGGCAGTATAATGGCATGCAGTCTAAAAAAGCAAAATAAAAACCATAGGGTGCGGCAGGGAAAAATTCCTTATTTGAAACGTGCGCCATCTAGCGACATTTATTCCGAGAAGGGCTCATTGATCTAAATTATTATGTCATGTAGGTTTAGTACCGATCATGCTGTGGATGAGAGAGGAGGGCGCGTTCTCGTACTTTTCAACGTACTGCATTTTCATCCATATAAATTGGAAGTGGCGCAAAAACTTAATCCACGCGATTTTCTTTCACAAAAAAATACATGCAGAGCCATTCTTGACAATACGCCTCATGATGCCCTTGTATTCTTCAGCGATGGGGCTCATTTTTATCTCTTCTGTTGCAGCATGCATTAAGCAAAACATGCGATAATGGAGTGGCACGAATCCCCGAGAATTTCCTGAGTAGCCCCTCCATACAGAACGTGTGACTGTTTTGTGTGCATTGTCCAGAATAGGCATCACTGGAGCAGGATTTTTTGGAGCACATTTCCCTGGACGTCTTACCTCCTTACGAGGCGATTGTTAGTGGCTAGCGCGCTCGCCTGATTTAGCCCCGTGTGATTTCTTTTTGTGGAGCTATCTGAAATCTCTAACGTCCAAAGACCCTGGCTCAACTGAAGGACAATACTCAAGCTGTTATCGACAACATACGTTGATATGCTGGTAAAAGGGAAAAGAAACTCAAAAGTCGAATATCTCAATACATTGACCAAAACGGAGGCCACCTTAATGATATTATTTTTAAACCGTAATGAAAAAAACTTTAAGTGTCTCTCTATAACTTGGGAAAAAATTAAACTGATATCGCTTATACTATTTGTGTTATTCATTTATAAAATAAGGTAGTTTACCTGCCGCACCCTGTATAATTATTGTATAATATCTACAGAATCAGAAATTTAAGAGGTTTCGGAAAGAAATTTGGCTTTGCTATTAAAGAAAAGCTAAATTTTTCCGAGAAATTTTGTAATAAATATGTAAATTTGATATTGCAAATTTGGAAAAGAAAATGTTTCCCCCTTTTTTTTTTAATTATAATTTTACTTAAGTTCTTCAAGCATATAATCATCATTTGTCCCAACATTTTTAGCATATTGTTACATTCCTTCGGCATTCTACATCTCCTTTCACTCACTTTTTTACAGATCGTAGCGTATTTGCATGATGTCAAACAAAAATATCCAAATCTTACTCAATTGATCAACCTAGGTGACACATTTGAAGGAAATGTCATCTATGCCCTCAAGGTATGTGACTTATTCATGTTATTTTTTATTGTTGTTAATATATACCGCCTGAGGGGGGAAATGCTACAGTAATAAAGGAACGCTCCCAAACCGACCAAACTGAATGCATAGATAGCCATATACTAGATGTAGAACAAATGATTTAATTTACACATGTAAACAAGGTTCCCAATCGTAACATTAACTGTAATTTAAGTGAAATTTAACTTAAATGATGCATTTCTGAACTTGACATAGTACTAAATTTATGGGTGTCCGAACAATTTTCGGAGGTACAGGTAGGCCGTATAGCAATAAATCGAATCCTCAGTTCGTCTGAATTTTCTAGGGAAGAGACGGCATTCAACATTCGTGTCCTTTAGAATTCTCGAATGGCCAGAGGCAGGGCCATCTAGCTGCTCAAGGAAGCATCTGTCCAGTTTTCTAAACATTTAGGCTAATTTAAGCTGTTATGTGGCAGGGCATCCTGTTAAAGGACGCTTTGCAGACAAATAAATGTCATGGATCACAATATTGCATCAATAGAGCGACGTGTTGTTAATGTACCTGTAAAGTCCCAATGACATTATGTTTCGGCTACGCGGGACTTAACGTCGAAAGGGACAATTCTCAGAACCCGCACAATTCCAGGAAACCCACGTAGGTAGGTTATCATTTTCACTTACTACAAAGACTTGAACTCCAAATAGTAATCGATTATCATTCAGACAGGGATCACGTGCTCCTTCAGAAGCAGAAATTTCGTCTGATTGGTTGTTTCTATCCGGGACAGAGTTCCAGCAGATACATTTTCGGTGAGATTTGAAGAAATCCTGCGTAGCTGCAACATCGTTTCCGTAGCTAGGCGGGACTTCGCTCCAGCGGGGCTCCTTTTTCTAGGAATTCTCTTATTTAAACTAGTGCTAACAGAATCCCGTTTTTCAGAAAGTCCTGTCTAGCAGAGACTGTAGAATCTGTCACTACTAGACAGGACAGAAACGAGAATCTGTCACCTGATATCTCCTGAAACTTGACTTTATGCTAATGTGTTGTGTGACTTTCCAAAATGGCAAACTATAACCGATGGCCACATCACTTTCAGACTCTCAAATGGAGACTGTCATAAGTGAGGTAGAAACAGGACGTTCACTCTGCACACTGTGTTGCTCTCGTTAGACGCCATCATAAGTGATAATGACGATGGCTCGCTGTTGCCTCTCTGGCTGCTTTCGTAACAAATGCTGCACGACAAATTTGCAACAGCAAATAGGCGCAACGCCATCTGGACTAATATCCGAGATTTAAAAATTGCCTATACACTTCATAAAATGTTACTAGTGGTAAATCGTTATAGCTTGACATCTGGTTCTTATGGTCAGTAGTGAATTATTATATCTCTTTGTTAATTTTCCATTAATAGCAAAAAAAAAAAAAAAAAAAAAAAAAAAAAAAATGTTTACTGTAACCGTGATAGTGTTATAAGGTATTTCTCCCGCCTTCGTAGTGTAGTGATTCTGCACGCTGGGCCGGTATTCCAGAGATTCGTGGTTCGATTCCCGGCGAAGGCGGTTGCTAATTTTTCATCTCTCCTGCTTCCAAAAACAAAAAAGGCCTATGCAGTGGCGCCCGACCTAAAAGGGTGTTGGATGATGATTCCCCTCACCCAGGATTTGGCGATTGGGTCCCTTTAAAAAAACCCCAGTCGCCCTTTAAAAGGGGAAGTATATAAGGTATTTCTCCCGCCTTCCTAGCGTGCCTTCGTGGTGTAGTGGTTCTGCACGCTGAGCTGGTATTCCAGAGATCCGTGGTTCTATTCCCGGCGAAGGCGGACATTCTCTCAGTCAGAAATACTGTCAAAATGACAGTGTGCGATCCAAGCAGACCGCTGATATAGCTGATTTTCAGCACCTTATATGAGAATGCTAAATTACATCAGATGAGTAAAAATAATTTTTCTTTTGTGAATGAGGCCTAAGGAAATATTAGGAAACATAATTTCATGAATATAAAATACAGGAAAGAACGTTCTGTGTTGTATAAAGGTGTTTTAAGTTTAATTAAATCAGAAATGAATGAACTCTGCTAGCGGTTAATAACTTCGGGAAAAGAGAATTTTTTAACTAAATGAAATCTAACTAAAAGATCTTTCTTTTGTATACTATTCAGAAAATTATCGGAAAAATAATAATAAAAAAAAAGTCTTGTAAAGTCGTTAGATTTATTTTGGAGCACAAAACGTGGAAAATATGTAATGCCTAAGCCGAGATTCGAAATCTGGTCTTCCCGATTCTCAGCCGGACGTGCTTCCAATTACACAGCGAAGGCACGTAGTAACGAGGAAGGAAATACCTTACATTTTCCCCCTCTTAAAGACTGACTGCGTAAACGAAGGCCCAGTAAATGTCATCGAACTCCGGATTACTCGATTGCTAGACTGATCTGCTTCCACTTACACTATGAAGGCAGGCTTTCATAGTGTAATTTTAAGGAGGAAGAAAATTTTTTACAATATATCTCGAGCAAGACCATGCATTTCAATTACTATTATTCAGGTTATCATAGAGAAAGCGATTTATCTGCAAATACATACAGGTATGTATGTATTTAAAATTTGTATAAAATTGTGTACTTTAAAGTCTAAGAGAAAATAACAGCCAAAGATAATTAAAAGCAAGAACTTGATACATGGAAGAGTAAAGTTTAATCAAAAATAAAACAAAGTAATGTATCTCACAACATCTCCTCAGAGGAATTATTCCAGAGGTAACATAACAGGACAGCCATGTTGTGTTTATGAACTGTATAATTAACAATGTGTTAATGCAAAAATTCAATCAAAACAACGAATTTCTACAATTTTTTAAATACATTAACAAGTTTCAGATTAGCTGCTAAATATTAAATTGCTAAGAATTACAAATAGCTATGTTCATGGATTGTTTTGGGTTTGTTTCCTTTTAAACATTTTGAACACTGCTAGTACATGCACAAGTTTTAGGATATTCATAATTCGTAAGCAGGATAACAATGATTAAAATTATACTTTTATAGCTTTTTAAGGAAAGTCATTTTTCATCATAAAGAATCATTTGTGCAAGAAACAAAACTCCATTAAATTATTTCTCCTAGATAAGTTCTGGTGGCAACAATACTCGACCAGCTGTTTGGATTGATGCAGGAATTCACAGCAGAGAATGGGTAGCTCCTGCTTCAGCCCTCTATATGATCAACAATCTTCTCATCAATTACGGAACAGATCGGAAACTGACAAACCTAATTGACACCCATGATTGGTACATTCTGCCTTTGGTGAACCCCGACGGATATTTGTATACCTGGAGTTGGGTGAGTTGTACCTTTCTTATTTAACAAAGAGCTACGAAAGAATTTCCCTTCCTAAAATAAAATTTTCACCTAAATATTTTTATTTTATATTTACAACAATTGTTGCTTTTCTGGCCTACGTAGCCGTTAGTATTGTTTATTATATCTTTAGCAACAGCTTTGATGGCGCTTGGCATAAAAATAGTTGTAGGGATTTATTATACAGGGTGATTCTAAATTGTTTTTACAAATTAAGAAGGGTGATAGTACCCATCCAAACGAGCGATCATTACCATAGAACATAAGGTCGCATTCCACTCTGAGAGGCAAAAAAGAGCAATGTTAGAATTCCAACCTAAACTCACAACAGTGTTGGGAAAGCTAATGAACGAGATCAAAAGTTGCGCAATCAGATTTATTGTTTAGTGAAGGAATGACTGGCGCACCCTCTAGGAGATTCCTGGTGTCGTGTTAATTTTGTTAGCCCACAGGTCCACCACGTCCGATCCATCGTGCGGGATATGTGGTATTCAAAATGTTACGGATCGTGACGGAAAAATATGCTGGAGATCCATCGTGCATAAACCACATGTCTCTCTGGATGAGGAACGGAACAGACTGCTATAAACTGAGAAGTACTTGTTCCAAGAAGGTACGGTATGTTGCGTCGGTCAAACGGTCTGGCATGATGTAAGGGCCTACCAGGTTATACCTAGGATACCTGCCCAGACGTTTCTGCCGGTGTTTATGAAAGGTAGTGCAGTGAGGATTGCTATCAGACCAAACGTGTTAATTGTGCACGTTGAAAAATGGCTTCTCTGCTGAATGTTGCCTCATCACTAAATAATATTAATGCAGGAAATCGTGGATTGTTAGTCCTCATTGTAAGCATCCATTGCACAAAGTCTGCCCGCCAGGGATAATCATCTTTTCATCTGTGTCCAAAGATTGTACTTTTTGCGCGTGGTAGGGGAACATGCGTTCCTCGTGTAAAATACGGCACGCCACATGTTGAGAGTATGTGCCACCGTATGTGAGGCGAATATCTGCCAATTCTTCGTACTTGTACTCCGCCATACCATTCACGAAAAGGTTTAGACGATGTTATCAAGGTAAATATTTGAAGCGATGATGATGTGCCGTTTTCAAGGACACCGTTTGCTCTGATTGTCTTTTTCCGGTACCAACTAAGAGAAAAACGCTGCTTCTTCTCAGTGAAAATTTGCGTACGGTTTATTCTTGATAGTCTTAGGAGATAGTCTCCTTGTTTTTCCTCGATGCATTTCTACTTTCCTTTTTTCTGCCTCTTAGAGTGAAATGTGACCTTATGTTCTATGGTAATTATTGCTCGTCTGGGTGTCTACTATCACCCCCTTTTAATTTGTAAAAACAATTTAGAATCACCCTGTATATTTTGACTAACCAGTTAAGTTTAAGTTTATGCTTTCTTTCCTATAAGCCTTCCTTCCTCTAATTGTCAATGCCAAATGCCAAAAAATTTTAATTGGGTAGCGCGCTTGAAGGAATGCAAATTCTACCATGAAGAGAAAAGATTTAAATGCTGAGTTCTAGAAGGAAGAGAGAGGGCGAAAGTACTGTGCCTTTGTAGCGTGAGCTTCTGATTCTGCATTTATGGCTGGTTAACATTGAGTCGTTGCTATTACTTTGCTGCCACTCGACTTTGACGCGGTTTTAGATAACAGGATTATCTGAGCCCTGGGGAACATTCTACTATTGTGTTAATATTTTTGAATTTTTAGTTGAGTTACCGACCGAGCGAGGCATAGTTTGTTAGCGTCAAGTCGACGCATTGTGAATTTTAGAGAGTCTAATAAAGGGTTCTTTTAACCCTTCTCCTGTCTGGTTCCTGCCCTTACTTCAGCTGTCACACTGAAAGCTTAACAAGTGGAGATATTACATGGTGAAGCACAAATATGCTACTTCAAATGGCAAAAATCATTAATAAAGATTTGTGCAAAGTGGAAAATAAATAAATAAACGAATATAAAATAAAACCTCAACATTTTTAATAATCATCAACAGAGAAAATGAATGGCAAAAAGAATAAGGCAGAGGTTAAAAAATTCATGTTATACGTTACTTGACGTCAAGCGATCAATCCTGGGAATGAATAATGTAATAAAATCACCCAGACCAGGGATCCCCAACCTTTTGTCCCTAAGAGCACATTCTAGAATATCTGTTGGATAAAGTTGTTGTTGAATACATGCACATGAAAAAGATATCTGTTGAATACATGCACATGAAAAAGAGATCGGTCACATTTCCCTTTGTACTGGTATCTGTGTTAGACGCAATTTCTATTTAATTAAAAATGAGAAAACTTTCGCATAGAATTTTATTGAAAACTAAAAAACATTTATACTATGATCGCACAGTGGCGGGCACACGTTCAGCAATCGGTGGGCGCCCTGATACCCGCGGGCATAGGTTTGTAAACCCCTAGCCCAGACGGTATAGTGGATAGGAGAGTCTACTGCGCTACCGAAAGACTCGGGTTTGAATCCCGGAGAAGACATGGATGTTTGTACATGTATAGTGTCCGTACGGTATGGGAGCATTCTAAATATGCGGCGAGCCGAAAGTCCTCTCGTGTGATTTGTAGAAGGAGAGAGGGATCGTAGACCCTCGGACCACCCTCGGGTGCTCTCTCTCAAAATTGGGGTGAAAAATAGAAGTCTAGCCTCTCTTTGGAGTAGGCATAGACACGACAACACAACAACAACAATAATAATGTTATAAGAATACAAAAGAATCAAACAGGTCAAATGGTGCAGAAGTTGAAATTTGCTTGAAAATTAAAAGAAGTACTGTTCAAAATAGTCTTTGGACATATACGCATGATAATATACTGAACGCAGTGCTTTTGAAAGACCCACAATCAAGAATAACTAAAACCAAATTGTAGATGGTTCCTTTCTACTTAAGATAGAAGATAAGGACGAATAACATTTTTAAATCACAGAACATTTGATCGCGATAAATAAAATTTATCAGACTTACAAAATACTGTCATATAAAAATATAAAATTTGACTTCATAATTTACTAAAATATTTACTTTTTCTTTTATTTTATAATAATTACTTTTCTCCTTTATCAGTTATTTTTATTGATTCAGTGATAATTTATTTTTATTTTAATTAAATCAGTTTTTTGATCAAGTATGTATAATTTAGTTTTTGTATTTAAATATTCATTTAGTTATATGCCAGAATTTGCTAAACAAAAGCGTTATATAACATGGATTAAAATTAATATATTTTTTTAAATTTCTGTCATAGTTATTTTTAAAACAACTCATACAGAATTATGTTTTTAAATTTGAATTTGCTTCAGTTTCAGTGTCAGGTTTAAGAAAATTATGGTTAAATGATATACACTTCCCAGTTCAAAAGAGGTCCCATCAACTCTCTTTAGAGACACTAGAAACTGCTTTTCTCCTACTAAGCAACAGACATTATTGCATATACATGCATTAATATAAAATCAGGATAGTTATCATTATGTTACATTCAGCAATTTTTTATGCATTTTTACAGTTCTAGTAAAGCAGAGTTAATCATGTCCCTTAAAAATAAAATGTTTAATCTTGTTTTGATTCAATGACATAGATATTTATGAAATTATAAACGTGCATCACGGCAATAAATTGTGTTTTTAAATGTATTTTAATGTCTTTTGTTTTTAGAACCGTTTGTGGAGAAAAAACAGAGCTGTTGTTCCGAGCTTCCCTGGTGTCTTGATATGCAGAGGAGCAGATCCTAATCGAAATTTTGACATATATTTTGGAGGCAGGTGAAAGACAATTCTCCTTTTTAAAGCACTGCAAAAAATGTACACTGCGGGGGGGGGGGAGATTTATATTTGCCTTTCTAGTGGGCAGATTGACAAAATTCAAATTACGTTTTCCATGTCTTGAAAGCGCGACTTAGGATATGTATTATATATATATATATACATATAGCATTGTTCTAATATATGTATTTTGACACAAAATCGGACTTTTTCTGAAATGACATGCCAATTTTTTTCCATATTTCGATTCTACAACCCAAATTGCGCCAAACTACCAAGTTTTGTAAAATTCGCACGAGTAGTTTTTAAAAAATTAGCTCTAAAAATTTGAGCTCCTCAATGTTAATTAAATTTGATATATATTTATTAATATCGCTTTTTTTTTATTAAACTTACTTTATTTCTTCTTCCAGAATTAGAAATTTAGGCTTAATCCAAATATAATTCGCACAGTTTGTAACTTATTTAAAATATATTTTATAAATTTTTTCGAAAATTATTTCGTAACAAACATATAAAACATATAAACATATAAAACCTATAAAATTTTTAACGCCATCTTAAAATAGTTATCGTCATCTTAAAGCATAACCTATAAAATTTTTAATGTCATCTTAAAGTAGATGTATTTCTTGGCACACCTGCAAAGAAATAGATTTTATTCAAACTTTTTTTAAGATATACATGAAATTGCATGTTGACGCGTCTTGAAATTTGACATCCTTTTTCTGAGCGATAATAAAGCCAAACGATAATACGCACTTTGTTAAAATTATTTGAAAGTATGAACGATGACTTTTTTCCCCCCGCTCGTCTACAATGAAAAAAAGAAAAGGAAAATAGGTTGCTATAAATTAAGAAGTTCCCCAAGTAAATTATTCTTGGCGAAAACTGAAAAAAAAAAAAAAAAAAAAAAAAAAAAAAAAAAAAATACTCTCAGACAAATTTTTGAATTCTCCGTAAATTTCGAACCAAATTTAGACATACTTTGAGTCGCAGAATCGAAATTTGGGAAAAAAATGTCATGTCATTTTAGAAAAAGTCCGATTTTGTGTCAAAATAACTATGTTAGAATGATGTTATATGTAAATCTAATATATATCCTAAGTCGCGCTTTCGAGACATCAAAAACGCAATTTGAATTTCGACAACCGACCCAGTAGAAGAGTTATAGAACTGTCTTTCCCCACGTTTTTTTAAATTTTTTGCGCAGTGTATCTACTGTTTTCCATATTTCGTTTCTACGATTCAAATTATACCAAAGCGCCAATTTTTGTAAAAATCGCACGGGTAGTTTTTAGAAAATTAGCTGTCAAAATGTTAGCTCCTCACTGTTAATTCAATTTGGTATGTATTTATTAATAGCTCTTTTTTATTACACTTACTTAATTCCTTCTTTCATAGTTCGAAATTTAAGTTCATTCCAAATAAATTCCACTCATTTTTTATGTTTTATTTTTAAAATTTGTATTTTAAAATAATTTTTCTAAATTTTTGGAAAATATTTTGAATTATAACTTATAAAATGTTTATTATCATCTTAAATTAAACGTATTTCTAAGTATACCTGCAAAAAATTAGAGCTTTTTATTTAAAATTTCCGAAGATATACGTGAATTTATATATTGGCACTTCTGAAATTTGGCATATTTGTTGAAAGCGATAATAACATTTAATGTGTTTTACGCACTTTGTTAAAATTATATGAAAGTAGGAACGATGTGACTTTTTCTGCTCCTGCACAATGGAAGGGAAAGGAAAATAGGTTGCTATATATTAAGAAGTTCACCAAGTAAATTATTCTTGGCGCAAACTGAAAAAAATGCGCCAAGCTAAATTTTTTAATTTCTCCGTAAATTTCGCACCAAATTTTACAAAATTTAACATTTAGGCATAATTTGAGTAGCAGAATCGAAATATGGGAAAAAAATAATATGTTGTTCAGGAAAAGACCCATGTTGTGTCAAAATACTTAAGTTAGAGCAATGCTATATACATACATAAATCTAATATATATTCTAAGTCGCGCTTGAAAAACGTAATTTGAATTTCGTCAATCGGCCCAGTAGAACGAGAGATATAGAACTGTCCTTTTTTTTTTCGCAATGTACTTCGCTTTGATTGTTTTCAAATTCTATTCATGTAAATTCTTTTTGACATAAAATAGTGCTAATAGTGTACTATAAGAAACATTAATTTCAAAACATTCGAGAGAAAAATTACAGATAACTAAATAATTGAGAATGTGTTCTCAGATTGCGTGTAACTGTCTCATCGCATTCAGTTTCTCTTTTCAAAATATGTGAAAAGGCATTTTGTAGAAACTGCTTCAGTGTTTTTAGAATAGTCTGAATAACATTTTCATACATATTACCCTTTTATATCTGGCCAAATCCACGAATATAACATATATAAATATATGCATATAACATCTCCATATGTGTTGGAACTTCGGAACATAAGTATTATTCAGCATAGCAATAACATGCGAAAAAAGGATATAATACTAGAATATTCCGCCCACCAGCGGCCGAGCGGTAAAGTGGCTGAACACTGATAGTTCGGTCCGAGAGGTTCGAATCCCGCGAACGGGCTGGCTGCATGGGTATTTTCGTGGTTTTCCCCATGTGTAACGTGTATACGAACCAGTTTCCCTTAGAAAGTCCTCCACGAAAGGCATCCCCCTCTTAGGCAGATAGCCCTAGTGTGCTTTGCCATAATAAATACACCAACACCACCTAGAATATTCCCGTGTAATTGAAAAGAATTACACTATCCCAAGTGAAGTTTGTTTGACAGATATTTTTGAAGGGCAACGTACCAATGCACTTCTACACACTTGTTGCTTGCTTCAAGAAGAATCGAAATCACTGCCCTTATAACCGTGTTTAGGCAGTTCAGAACATTGGCAACCATTGACTTTCTCAGATTACACATTTGAACTCAGTTTAAGAGTTATTCTTGTCAGGCTAGTAATGTTGAAGAGGTCATTAGGAAATTTTCACAGCAGGAAACATGAAAAATTAGGAATACCCTCATCGGGATTCGAACTCTGTGCATCCCACTGCTAGCTGGTCGTGTTTGCACTACACGACGAAGAACACAGTACGAAAGGAGAAAATGCTTTACAATGAAACGTCTGAAACATATCCAATGAAAGCAATAATTTGCTTCACAGAATACGAAACGCCAACTTCTGAGAAACAGTAGTGCAGACAGTGACCTAATATATCAATTATGGATCTTCTTGATTGTTTACAGAATTTTTTTACCTCGAAAGCCATAAATAAAGTAGGTTTCTAAACTAAACTCAGTGGCGCAACAGCGCTAGTGGGCCACGGCCTGTAGTGCCCCAAAATCTGCTTTCTTGACCTTGGGCCCCAGAGTGCATCAGCATATGCCCTCGGCAAGTGTTTAGCTTGCCGCAGGACCCCAGTGTTTAGTCCCTAAGCTAATTTGGTACCCATTTTATCTACCCATCAAGGAATGAAAGGCTGAGTCAACCTTGCCCTGGACCTGTGGTGCACCTGCGCGACGCTCTAGTCACTTCGCCACCGAGCGGTTAAAATACGTTTCTAACATTTCATAAATATAAGATATTTAAGTAGATTACAAAATTTCTTCTTGTGCACATTATTGTCTACTTTCTATATAAATTTACATGTTTACAAAGGAAATTTCTTATAAGATGTTGACTAATGCAGTATGCGTCTTATTGAAACCTTCAGGCTCTGCCAGAAACCATCCTTAAGAAAAAAATCATTCTTTTGCAAACGTTTTTTATTTTCGAAAATCAGCCATTTCTGCAATTATTTTACGCAAATAATAGCAATATTTTACATTCTCTTTACAGAACGGTCATTCTTCTACATTGAATTTATAGTCTGCTATTTTAAAGTAGGAGAGGTGAAAAATACGCAATGCCCTTGGCAGAACTCGAGCCTGGACCTCTCGAATACGCTCCAAGTGGGCTACCGTTACACCATGAAGGCATGTTGGAAGGCGGGAGAAAATAATACTTCCCCTTTCAAAGGGCTACTGGGGATTAGGGAACACAGTTACCAAATCTCGGTGGTGACGAACTATTGTGCAGTCCCTTTTAGTTCGAGCGCCACTGTAGAGTAACGTAGAACTCTTCAATGTCAGGAAACTGAAGAAATCCGCAATGTCCTCGCCGGGACTCGAACCTGGACCTGGAATACGCGCCGAGTGTGCTACAGTTACACCGCGAAGGCATGCTGGAAGAAGAGTGAAATTATGTTACAAATTATAAGATAATCGAAGCAATTATAATTATTCAGAGTAATATTTAGAATATTGAAAGCAGTTCAAACTTACATCCCAATGTTCTCGTTTTGCTCTCTCTGTGATATCTTTTCTAGTAGTATATAAAAGCGGTAAAAATTAACAGATTGTTAGTTGTAATGCATTAATTTATTAATTTTTACTGCTTTTACGTACTAATCCGTTTGTATTTAGTTCTTAGAGACGAATTTGCTGCTCTGTTTTATTTTTATTGTTGTACCAGTTGCATTCTGAGTATAAGGAAAAGAATACAGATTTTTTTTTTACTATTTATAATAATAAACATTAAGTATTGCATCATTTGCAAAAGAATTTGGATTAGAGAGGGGCTTTTCTGAAATGAAGTGATTTTATGTAATAAAATATAGATATTTTGTACAAAAACTATTTTTTTCCTTATATACTTCTCTGCAGGTCCCAGTACTAGTTCAACACCGTGTTCTTCCATCTTCAAAGGTGACCGTCCTTTTTCAGAAGCAGAAAGTTCGGCTATCAGAGACGGTGTTACACAAATCAAAGACCGCTTAAAAGCATACTTCACGCTGCACTCTTTCTCGCAACTTTGGATGACCCCTCACGGCTACACCACTATGCAAGCACCCCATTTCAAAGATCACGTAAGATTTCGATTTTCACGAAATTTTAATCCTTTAAATATCTAATACCGGATAGTTTTAGAAAGACTTATGGCAGGTTAAGACCATAGTATCATTGCTATTTTTAACGAGGCAAGGTACTACATTTCTCATACGAATAAACGAGTCTGGAAAAATCTGGATTTCTTTTAATGTTAATCTCGTGGCTTCTGCCTCGACTTGGCACAATAGTGGTTAAGATTGACACGTCAGTCAATTTTAATGTCAGAGGATCAGTGGGCCCCAAATTGGCATATCAGTGGCCGAGTGATTAAGATTGCTGAAAGCGTAGTTTGAGCTTGATTCAAATATAGGCAAACAGCCAGGCTGCATGATTGGTTTTCATGATTTACCCGATTCGTAAAGTGAATACGACTCAGTTTCCCTTAAAACGTCCTCCACAAAAGTTACCCTTCCCTTACGCAGATTAGCCTTGATGTGGACATTCAAATAACCTAACTTGCATCTCAAGATTTACAGTAATTAAAAAAAATTAGGTTTAGCGATATTTCACCGAATCTAAAATGATGATGAAGATTTGTCGATGAAGTCAACAAATTCTAATAAATCTAAAGTCTCTGTTTTACAAGTCTAAAAATAGTGCAAAATATCTGCTAAAAAATTTCTTACACGAAATCGTAGAACAACAGTTATAAATACATACGTATTCCAAATATAGAACATTTTTAAAAAATATTTTGCTAGGTCTCTTTAAGAGACACAGTTTGTTATAAATAGGCTAACATTAAAAAAAGTATATTAAGGTAAACTTTCATAAGTTTCATGCTCGAAAGAAGGCACGTCTGTTATTTGTACGAAAGCACGTTTTACTGCAGAAAAAGGTTTACTTGAAGAAAAAACATGCTTACTTAATTTGATTGAAACACATATTTACCTGGAAAACATATCTATAGTAAATACCATACTTGAAGGTCTGAATTAATATTATTTAAACATATTTCCTGTGAAACACCTTTTGCATACGAAATAGATGTACGAGTAAGCACCTTATATGTATGCTTCCCTTGCAAAACATCTTCAAAAATGCGAAGTTGTTTAACTAGTGAGGTAATCTTATTACTAGAATAATAGGGTCTCAGTCAATACCTTTTTATATTGAAATGACACCAAAGACGATCATCCATGTTCCCAAGCGATTCTGGTTTTCCGTAGAAGTTTCACGTTGGGGGAATATAACAACTACTGAAGTTCAACTCTGTTACTTAATAATGCTTTTAGAATGGTATCTTCCATAAGTGATCTTCTTATAAAGATGGTCTTTTTAGGATTTTCACGTTTTATGTAATTTGTAATTATTTGAAAAGAAAAAATCACAAAAGTAGCGATAACTCGTTCGAAAATAAGCCATTAGCGATAGCAGGCGTTATTTGATTTGGAAAAGACATGGAACTCGTTATCATTCAGAGGAGGCGTGTCTGTGTTTGGGGGGGGGTAGCTCTTTCCACGTGGAACCATTAATGCTGAGGCCTATAGAGTTGACATCCGTGATGCTTATGTGCTCCCTTAATGTCGTGGCAATAGGTGATCATTTCCTGCTACGGGACGACAACACTAGACCGCTATCATGGATGATTATCTTCAGAAGAAAACAATTCAACGCATGGAGTAGCCAGCTCGATCACCAGATCTGAATCCTATCGAGCATGTTTGAGATGATTTAGAAAAATTTATAGCTGTTATCAATACTCCTCTTTAGACACTTGCCACGCTTGAAAACGCTTTGGCTCTCACTTGCTTCAGAACTGATAGACTGCATAACTGGCAGCATCGGTACATCGCTGTATGTGTTGTATTGCTTTTAAGGGATATCATACTCCATATTGAAGGTAATTTTCCTATACCAAACTGACAAATCCGATTTGTTAATTTTATACACATGCTAATTTCTATAACAACATAATTGTCTTGTAATTTCTTTCCATGTTATTTTATACCTTACAATGTGTTATACATTGTGGGTCAGTTTTATTAAATTGTACATTAACATTTTGGGTAATCGTCCTTTTTGTGATTTTTCCTTAAGTAATGATAACCCGTGTATATGGTTTAGGAGCCCAAACGCAAACAGAAAGTATTCCCAATGAACGCATGATAAGGAGCTATGCAATTCATGTGGCCTCGGCAATTCGGATACTGAATTCTTGATAACTACAAACGAGTAGCCTTGTCCGGCTCTTTCATTAGGAATGTGCCTTAAAAAACACATGGATCCCACACGTGAGTAGTATATTGTATACTGGTTCCGCAGCCGTATGAAGTTTATTTAGCTGACACCCAGTGTAACTTCTGTTAGGTTTGTAAACGTTTTCGTCAGGTGAACGCGCTGTATGCGCGTCTTTCGGTTCTGTTATTACACGTGTTCATTGACTACGCCATTCTGACCGGTTTAACTTTTTTTTTTATCTAACATACCATAGCCATGTAAATCAAGAAACACTAAATCATAGTTAGAGGATCATTTTTCAGAGTTTAGAATACAGGCCTCGGCGACATAAGTTACCAGATCTCTATGTTACCACAGCATCTGGAATGAGATGAAAAACATTGTTCAAAGCAGAAACTCTGCATCTTCGAATACGATAAATTATGAACCATTCAGTAGGAAGTATGATTTTTTACAGCTGACATAATACTAAATACTCCCATATGCTCAAGGAGTTCATTTTTCACAGTTCTATTAGTGAGGAACCTGATAAATATTAGATTGGTGTATAATTTTTGTTGTCATTATATAAGCAGAAAATCAGCAGACTGTTATTCAAGAAATAACGTCAGATTATAAATCAGATACCTAAATTAAAAGCTTATAATTTTTAGGATAAGAAGGAAGAATCAGCAAATTTAAAAAAAAAAGTTGAATATTAAAAGTTAACATTTTATTTTCTAATTGAATGGTTAAGTATAATTATCAAAACATACGTAAATATTTACTTAAATTTATGATACCATTGTAATGAATATTAGCAAGAATATTTATTATACACTATTTTGAAACAGATGCTTGCATTCAATTTAAAAAAGAGAATACAGAAATTCCAAAAATCAGTTTTCAGAAATTGTTAAAATTCTCTTAGACTTGGCGAAGTGGCAAGGAATAAGATGCAAGTATGGGAAGTTAAGTTCTTTGAAATCTTCTGATTTCTCTTTTCCTTAGAACTTCATAATTTAATCTTTGAAACTCCATGAATTTTTCGTAATTACTATTACTATATTAACTTAGCCTGCTTCACTTTCACTTCTGGTATATAGTATTTGTTCATTTTGCTCAATTTGCTTCAGTCTTTAGTCTTGGACAAAAGCATCTGTGGCTATATTGTTCCTAATTTTGTCACCTGAAAGTAAATTCAATCACGCTTTCAAGTAAAGATAAATCAACAATCATTAATCGTTTGAGAAAGATGAAAGAACAACTGTATTAATTGTGAATTACAATGTAGGAAAATAAATAGTAATAATTGTTTGTTGTGGGTTTATGCTCATTTTACTGATATTATAAAGTAATGTCGATTGAAAAGACTTTATTATTAAAATAAATTTCTGTTTACTTAAATAATACAATACCAGAGAAAAATAATTTACATGAAATACTGTTTTTTGTTAACGTGAAAATTTACTATCCGAAAACAGCGATTACCCGAACTTATTGTAATCTTATTCTATTCGGATAATTAAAGCTTTACTTTATGTTAAAATATTAAGGAAATTTATAATCCAGTATAGGAAATTACTCCGAGAATTATAGTGTATTACATTTATTTTCTTTTACAGCTTTATTTCATACTCGTAGAAATAAAAGTGAAGATTCGTACTGATTTGCAATCCTGGAAACCAAAAATGTTGACTTTTTTCCACAATACACGAATTTTACATGAATAGAGCATATTTCATTGCTTACTTAAAAAAAAAAAAAAAAAAAAAAAAAAAAAAAAAAAAGAGAGAGAGAGAGAGAGAGAGATCAATAAAAATAATGGAACTATATTTTACAGCGTAAGTACTATTCTATTTATAATTAAAAAAATCAACAGGTTCCCACCCCATTTGATCTTTGGATTTGCATTGATCACAAATGATTTAACATTACATTTGCCAATATTGTGATCTTGTAAAGTACACTGTAAAATTAGTACATATAGAGTAATTGACATTTATAGGATAATAAGCAAGTCTTTCCTCCTTATGAAAACAGAAAAGTTCAGAAACAGTCCACTCAATATTACATCATACATAAGTTGTTTTTTAAATATGGTCCATATTTACGTACCATATGAAATGTCATGCATACATGACAAAGTGTATGAACGTAAGTTCTCAGCATTCTTTGCATAGAAGCTGACACAATCTGCATTCACAACATTAATACACTATAATTCAGGAAGTAATCTGATTGTATTGTTTTCTAATCGATTCCATAAAATAATTAAGAGTATTCAATATTTTGTATTTATAATTTTACAGATGGAATTGCTAAACATAGCAGTTTCTGCAGTTGAAGCAACGCACGGAATGTCATACAGATATGGACCTTCTGCCCAAACACTTTGTGAGTATTTTTTCACCTACTTGAGATTTTAATCTTCTAATTATGTGTTTAGAATCTGAAAACAAAATTCGTTATTGCATCATGTATAACAGCAGCTGAGCCTTTAGCATGTGCGCCCTTCATTTATTTATTTACTGACTTATTGATTTATAAAGACACATCTGTTAGGGAAAGCAGACTGTTTAATCAAAATCTTTCAATCATCATTTCTTTTTCTTGCTTTCAATTCAATATTATGTGAGTCGCAGTATAAGTATTCAGAATATTTGTAACTGAACTCAGAAGAACGGAAATTGATAGGTAATCCACTGATCGTAATTTCTTTCAATTTTTTTTATGTCTGGTACTCGACCAAATCAATTTGAAATACCAAATTAATGAGTAATAAAATTATTCCTTTCTTCATATTTTCATCATCCTTAAAAGAAACCACATAATTCGCTTAGATCTATCCTTCCTTGCTGAAATTAGAAACTCTCTTTTTTTCTAAAATAGTCAGAATTAGCAACAGTAGGCTAATAGAATTATTTCAAGACTATTTGATGTACAGGTGGGTGAATATGTAAAACAGCTGAATTTGATCTAGGTCTTCGAAAAACGTTGGCGGCATGGATCTGCATGGATATTTTATTATTTCTCACATGTAAAGTGAATAAAAGCCAGTTTTTTAGGAAGCCCTTCGTCATTGTCTCTTCTCTTCTTTCTTTGCTATATTCGATACAAACAAACAAGAAGCTAATATAATAACCGTCTGGGAAAACGTAAGAATGCATCTCCATCGTCTTGTAACCATCGTTCTTGCCACATATTTTTCTAACAGACTTTATGGTTTTATTAGATATTTTGATATCGATATAAATATAATTTTCTAGATTGCGTCTTTGGAAAAACAAATTCAAGTACTTTTAATCAAATGGAATAGATGTATACAGCTTTATAAGCTGCTGTCTAAAATTAAGATCACTAACAAGTGATATTTCGAAAAATATTTGGTTTATTTTCATGAAATTTTTATACAGATGCCGAATACTATAAAATAGCAAACAGTAACATAAGAAAAAGAGGAGGTAAATAAGTTGTGATATAAAAACGAAACAAAAAACAAAATTATCATAGCGTGCAGTAACTTCGAACTTCCATTCTTCTAAAGTTCTTCTTTAATGCCTGGAGCGTCCGACAAAGCATATCATTTTTAAAAATATTAACAGTAACTAATTTGAATTATCGTAAAAATGTGATCATAACTTTAATTTTGGACACTAATGTAGATTATTATTTGATAAAAGTTAAATAATGGCTTTTATAATTACTACAAAAATTATGTTTAGGATTTATCGCTAGGAAAATATTTTAAAACATATCATTAGATATATGAAACTTGATAAGTATGGGTAAAATTCTCATTTTTTATTATTACTATCCTTCGGAAGTAATTTTTTATTTAACAAGTTTTATAATTTTCTGTATATTTGAAATAAATGTTATGTTAAGTTTTAAATTTGTTTGCTTTTAATAAGCATTTGACTCTATTGTAATTTATGTTCCAAACGCATTTAATGCGTCGCAGATCACCGCATCAGTGAACTGTCGGAGAAGCCAACGATGCGTGTATTACGACATTTTCATAGTCAAAATAAAAACTGTAGAAAATTATAACCCTTCACCTTCAACCCTTTTTTTAACCTCTGTTGTTTTGAAGTTTCAGCTTTTGGAGATCATTTTATAGTAAAGTCTCGACTTCATGGCGGATAAATTGCTTCTGTACGTTTTGAGGAAGATTTTATCCCTCTATTAAAAAATTCGTAAAAACTTCATGTCACGTCCATAAAACTTATAATAAATAAGTTTGGTTTTTAAAACGCGCTATCGTATTATCTTTAGAAGAAATGTATGAGATGATATGCAGCGGAATAGTATAATTCATGCTACAGTGCAAGCGTATTTATATAGCATCCGTCGAACATTCAAAGCAATCTCTCATTTTGAGCAAAGAAGCATGAATTTATCTGATAGCACATAAAATACCTGTCCTGAATACCCACCTTATCTGCCAGTTTTCTGTCTCTCTGGCTCTGCTGTTCCTTCCTGCTAAGATGGTTCTATGAGATCGGACAATGTTTTCGTGCAAATCAAGTTGTCCAAATCGAAACAACGGCCTGGCTCTGATAAAAGAAAGAGTTGACCAATCTTTCCCGAGATGCCAGGAACATTGCAGCCAAAGCGGATGTTCCATAGGAAGTTGTATCGAACATACCTAGAATGTAAACTTTTACATTTCAAATGGAACTGACTTTTTTCTAGTGTCGAGTTTTTTCGACCCTATAATATTGCCCTCCTTTTTTCTAAGGTAATTCTAAATGTGAAAACAGTGTAACATATAAAATATGGATATAAAGAGGCATCAGATTACGATGGTTCGATTTAAGATTTCGAATTTACGATAGTACAGAACACTTTGATGTTTCGAAAATTTTATTTTTCGGCACAGCAATATGAAAAATGATATGGTAACGAGCACATCATCAAGGATGCTGACATTTTGTATAGCTTTTGCTTGCAAATTGTGTCCCCCAAAACTGGTATGATTCTGAAGAGCAATATAACTACTTGAACTTTAATAAACGTCAATACCTCAGAGCTTTTTGCCAATAATTCTCGAGTCTCACTGAAAGTGAGACAGATTGAAGGATTTAGTATTGCAGTATTTCTACTTTCCAACAAGTTCAATGTTTCAAACATTGTTTAGGTCTAACATATTTTCGCTATATGTTCTGTTTTTTACTTTCAGTGGAACATTCAGTAAATCAAACAACATATTCAATATTTTATTACGAAACAGGCTTGTTGAAAATGTTTTGTCCAATAGTAGGTCCAATGGTAGGTGCTCTGAAGATAAACTAAGCTATAATATTCAGCAAATTAGGTATACCAGATGCAATGACGACTTCTGATGGGAATATGAAGCCTGAACACCATCTAAGTACATGTATAAAGAAACTTTTCATTACTTCATACGTGTCCTCGATTGTAATCAGTATCTAGCAACTGGAAGATCAGTGATTTGAATCCTGGCCAGGGAATTAATGATTTCTCACGTTTATCAGCTCTAAAAGGTATAATGGTATCTACAAAGAAGCTCCTACATCTTTCTTTCGTAAAATTTTATAACTAAGGTTTCCTAATTTTTAATTACGATTAAGTTTTATTCTTCTAACATTTTTACTCTTTTATTTCAGATGCTACAAGTGGCAGCGCATCAGATTGGGTATATGACGTAGCTGGAGTGAAATACAGCTTTTCCATCGAACTTCGCGACAGAGGGGTGTTCGGATTTTTGCTCCCCAGGACGGAGATTATCCCTACTGCTGAGGAAACCTGGGCTGGAATAGAAGCAGTTATCTCTCATTTACATTCGAAAGAATCCGCTAAAAAGGACTCCACTTCAGCCTCTTCTGATAATTCAATTATGTAATCTTCAACTACTAAATTATATTAAATGTGAAGTGTCGTTTTCAAGAGGCGAAAGGTTTAGAGACATGGCAAAGAGTAAGGTCTAAACTAAGTTTCACATCATGATCTGAAGATTTTATTTATTTGCTCGCATTTTACAGAGTATATCAACGGAGTTCATTAAAATCCCACAAGATTTAGGTTGCAACCTCTCTTTGAAGACCTCTAACAACCTTTTTTTCATCGCCTTATGTAGATTATGTTTATCATCTGATAAAACATCCAAGTGGTATTATTATTTACATAAAGATAATAATCTAAGATCATAATATCTGTGTTAAGTATACGCTTTAATATGCATTAAAAAATCTATTTATTTTACAAAGAGCACTAACAGTTTCCTCGTATGCTCGAATTGTAGTTTGAAATACTATACAGATACTTGGCGTAAACCTATTGCTGAAGATTTCATCTGTGAATGGTATTATCTGATAGCTTTTACAAACAAGATTAATTATTTTTTAACTATTTATTGTTCATTTAATATTCATTTGCTTATTATTATTATTATAAATGGTCACTTATTTATTTAAGTGGATAAACATTATATTATGGCCACTTATTAATTAGATTATTATAAATGGCCACTTATTTATTTCAAAGAGTCTTTTCAACCGTATGGTAATCAAATATTTTGTCTTGAATCCCTCATTGATGCTTCATGATTATTTTTCATGACTTGAAAAAATTATGTATAACGATGATAAACTCTTATCTAGTAGTCTTAAAAAACACATATTCAAGATTTTGAAGCTTTAAGTTTAACAGTTTAAATCTAAAACGCTACGATAGCATTTACTTTACTAGCTACCATAGGTGCATTTACCTTTAGATTACTAATAGGACACAGAAGGTCTAATTTCAGTTATATTTTTGCTAAGAACTCTTATACTATCAGGTAAATATTGACCAAACTGCAGCTTTCTTCTTGCCATTAGCGATATCACATACTATTGAAAAAAAGGTGTGATATATTTTTGACATTAAATATGGCTGCAGTTAATAAAAGATATAGTATAATACATCATATTGGTTAAAATATACGATGGTTTCGTATACCATGTTAAAAGAAGTAAATAATTAAGCTGCCTAAAAAGGGAAAAATTAAGTAAATTAATAAACTTTTAACATAAAAGGTAAAAATTAACATGTAACTTGTTTTAACATGTATTTTTTAGTTTTGGACGTATCTTAATACATACATACATATATATATATATATATTAGCATATATGTAACGGTTATTTTAGAGGAAAAACACATCGTTTTGTATTTGAGCCAATATGTATTTATTTTTACAATATTTATAAAATAACTCATAAATAATGAGCATAATGTAATGCCTCCGTATCCTCGAATCTATACCTTCCACATCTTAACACGGTTACCTGTATTATACCAGTGGATTATACCAAAAGGTCTATACTGCGTGCTTTTCGTGTAATTTACTGAATATGACATAACTAAATTGGTATATTATTATATCAAGGAATAAGCAAGATACAATAAAATAATAATAAAGTGAACCTTATATATAATAATAAAATGAATGGTTTTTATTGTATTTCTGCGGTCTGAATTTGAATTTTATGCTTTATGTAGGTTCTCTTTCTTGTTCATAAATATAAGAGATTATGTTTTATTTTAACCCTCAAAGGCTGACTAAACAATGGAAATTTGTTGTACTTTTAGTGTATACTATCATGGCCAGTTTCACAGAAGGCCAGAGCAATAAAAATCACCTTTTTTTTTTTTTTTTTTTTTTTTTTTTTTTTTTTTTTTTTTTTTTAACCTAAGCACAGCATGAAGCATCGTTCCGATTTGCACATGTATATCTGTGTTTATGATATGAATGCCACGGGAAGCCGGTAGTTGGAGCGTTTGTACTGGTGTGTGTACTTTTTATGCGACAGTAAGTTCTCACCTTGTACGGGGTTAGTAAGTGCAAACCATTTACTTCATTAATTTTCAAAATTATGTTAGACCGCAGTAAACCAAGCGTAGCTAAAACTGGAAGTACTGAAACAGAGGATATGGGGGCATTATTGTATTTCTATAAATGTACTTCATATCTACAAAAAGAAAAAAAAAAAAAAGAAAAAAAATAGACCTTGGTTGGTTCAAGGATTACAAGTACATTATAATAATGTTAATAATTATTTATGCACGAGATGCCAAATGATTGTTTAATCAATTTATCATTAATCATAATTACGAAGGAGATTTATTTATTCTGTATTTTGTATATTAGACAATTACATAAAAATAATCCCCGCTGGAGTATTTTTTAATGCTGTACTATATGAATATGATATATTTATTAGCTAATGAACATGTTTATATGCTTAAATTACGCAACTTTAATATATCACCTTTGCTATGCAATGTAAAAAATCTCTAATTTCAGATTAGTACCACTCAAAGAAATTTGGAAGTTTAGATAATTTGTAGATTGTATAATGAATAATGATTATTAAATGTATTTTTAAATTGGAAAATAAATTTCAGCAAATAAATTAATTAATCAAAAATGAATTATTATATTGGTCTGTAGAAAATGATTTATGAAATAATGACAAACATCACAGCAAAATGACTTCAATTAATCAACAATATTTATTGCTTCTTCGCTTCAGTGTTACAATGTTATTATTTTCTAATTTCAATAAATCTAATGCCATAAATATTGATTACTTTGTTTCATTTCCTTGATTAAATGGACCGAAAAGTTTAGAAACTGTGAAAAGTTCCGTGAAATCAGGAAAGAATCTGCATCGAAACAACTGAGGGAAAGAACATTATTTTATTATTTTTGATTTAATAATGTTTACTATGGCGTATAAATGTGTTTGTCAACTCAGAATATACATCATAATTCGAAATGGACATATGGCTTATGCCCACAATTAAAACTTAGCACAATTAATATAAAAGCAAATTACAATTTTTTATTAACTAATTCATATAAATTAATTCAAAGTTTTATTGAAATAAAAGTTTTTTTTTTTTTTTTTTTTTTTTTTTTTTGAGTAAATGAAATGAATCATATTATTATATTTTCTTCTTAACAAGATAATATTATCTTATGTGACACAAATTACTAGGCAACTCAGTATTTATGAAAAAATGAGCTTTGATTTTGAAGGAAATTATTGCGTGCGTCCGCAGGTGCGATGATTGGTCGCAGGTCCGATGAATGTACTCAGGTCCGATGATAGGTTAATTAAAATAATTTTATTAGTGGAAACGCTCCACAAATCTGGAACTTTCCACAACAATAGTTGTACACAGAGTATAGTCAGTAGCTACACTTCAAATTACTAAGAACGTTAAACACAACACAATGCAAAGCGCATCTGAAGGCATCTGAAGAGCGAAGCATACCCGGAGATACCTTAGTACTCCGAATTCACACTGAAGTAACAAATAAGCGCAGATGCCCTTTCTCCGCTCTTGCATGGTTTTCATCTGGCCGCCGAGGTATTTCTAGTACTTTCTGCTTCTTGAAATCACTGGAATCTATATAAGAGCCAAATTACGGTTACAGCTACACAGAACATCAATTAAAATGTTCATTACAGTTATACAGAGACCGAACCAAAATTTCACCAGAAGATCGCCACGCTGGCGCGATTTGTCGATTTCTCACCAAATTTGGTGATAAAAATTAATCGACAGAAATATCTCGCCAAATTAGCGAGATAGCTATTTACTCAATGTGCCCCCTGTATTCTTACTTTTCCGGCAAGCTTTGCTTCTCTAGATTTTCCCGTTCAGAAAAATACAACAGCTTCAAATATGTATAAGTGTAATAGATTCATCTAACTGTGCACAAAATTCAACACGTAACCATATATTTTCGTGAAATTTTGATTCAGTAGTCGAGAAAATGCAGGTTCTTATACAGAAAGTTAGTTACTAGATGTTCATTAATCTTAAGTATACCGGAATAAAATTCTGAAGGAGATTATTAAATAGCACTTCAGAAATAGTTATAATAGGAAACTACAAATTTATTAAAACTGTATAATAAGTTTAATTAATTATGATTACTTAGCCTTCGAAACGGGTCTAGATTTCAGAAACTACTCTCATGGTCTAAAAAGTGTGAAAACGATCTATTAGTGTTTATTTATCCGTGCAGAAATATTAATTTATATGCCTTAGTATTACTGCAATTGAAAGGGGTGAGAGAAAGTGAATTAAAAAAATATCGATGGATGAGAAGATAAAGTGAATTAAAAAATATCGAGGGGTGAGAAGATAAAGTGAATTTAAAAAATATCGAGGGGTGAGAAGATAAAGTGAATTTAAAAATATCGATTAACACAATACATTGATACTTAACCTTTAGTGTAGCTTACATAATTAATAAAAGCCTTATGAAGAATCATAGCACTCCTCCGAGTGTGCTATAGGGGTAGACGTAGTAAGATGCTGAGCTAGCAATTACAAGATTACTGGTTCGAATACTGGCTTGAGCATACTTTTTCATTTTTCCCGCTTCGAAAGACATAAATGTATAAATAGCGCTTTCAAATGCTTTTGCAATTATTTCATAATTTTACAATTTTGTAATTTTTGATAAATTTATTGATTACAAAAACTAACTAGATGCCGCTAAAGGAAAGTATATATACTAGTATATTTTTCAATAAAAGAGCTTGTCTGAGTAACTCCACTTTTGCAGTAATCTTAATCGAATTCTAAAATTAATAGAAAAGGCAGTTTAAGAAATTATACTATAAGGTATTTCTCACGCTTTCCTAGCGTTCCTTCGTGATGTAGTGGTTCTGCACGCTGGGCCGGTATTCCAGAGGTCCGTGGTTCGATTCCCGGCGAAGGCAGTTGCTAATTTGTCATCTCTCCGGCTTTTCCAATTAACCTAATGTCTCTACAATGCTTCTAATTTTGAGACCATACTCTTTACAGAGTTTAAAAAATGCACATAAATTTTGAAATTTTTTCCTCAAGTAGCTTTTAAGTAAAATGCCGGGATTTTTTTCAAAGGATATCAACAAGTACTTTAATATTATTTTCAAAAAGGTTCTGCAGTAGAATGTTACTGGACAGATAACTGCTCCACACGCTGTTTTCACCTTATTAAACAGCAAAAACTAATTTTAACTCACAAATGGCTGACTTTTGCCACTCATGCCATCGACCGGCCATAAGCCAAACTAGCTACTCATCTCCAAGTCTGTATGACGCTATGTATAGAAGCAAAATTAAGAAGAAGACAGGTAGCCAAGGAGCTAGGAATTATTAATTAATAATTCGCCCGTGGTTCGATTCCCGGCGAAGGCAGTTGCTAATTTGTCATCTCTCCGGCTTTTCCAATTAACCTAATGTCTCTACAATGCTTCTAATTTTGAGACCATACTCTTTACAGAGTTTAAAAAATGCACATAAATTTTGAAATTTTTTTCCTCAAGTAGCTTTTAAAGTAAAATGCCGGATTTTTTTCAAAGGATATCAACAAGTACTTTAATATTATTTTCAAAAAGGTTCTGCAGTAGAATGTTACTGGACAGATAACTGCTCCACACGCTGTTTTCACCTTATTAAACAGCAAAAACTAATTTTAACTCACAAATGGCTGACTTTTGCCACTCATGCCATCGACCGGCCATAAGCCAAACTAGCTACTCATCTCCAAGTCTGTATGACGCTATGTATAGAAGCAAAATTAAGAAGAAGACAGGTAGCCAAGGAGCTAGGAATTATTAATTAATATTTCGTTTTCATTATCCATTTCATTTTGTGTGTGTGTGATTACGGCAAAGCCTCAAGGGCTATCTGCCTAAGGGGAGGGATGCCTTCGTGGAGGACTTTCTAAGGGAAACCGGCTCGTATACACGTTACACATGGGGAAAAACCACGAAAACACCCATGCAGCCAGCCCAGCCCGTTCGTGGGATCCGAACCTCGGACCGAACTTCCAGCCATTTCATTTTGAAAGGGAGGAAAATCTTACCAGACAAAACAAGAACCTACAATGTCTGCAGAAACTGTCATGCAATCGAATTTGGACCAGACCCCGTCTTTTACTGCCCCGCCATCTTGGCTTCAGTGCAGCAAATTAGTGATTGATCACAGGAAGACCTCTATGAAGAAAATTGCTTCGAGAGAACTAAAGTGGTCTGTACCGCTCATGGTACCATCTAACTGACTTCATGGACACCAGAACAAACAAACATTATCCATAATGAAGTTCATTTGAGGGAGGATTTTGAAGCCTGTTTTGAATTGGTGACTCGATGCCGCTAGATGTGCATATGATTTTTCTAGACATCAGAAGTGAAAGTTTGTTGGTATTAAGGCAAGTATCAAGGAATAAAATCAGAAAATGGCTGAGAGCACTCATCTTTGCTTACAGACTGTTATGCAAGTTTTTTACTCACTCGAATATTAAGGAAGACTATTAGTCTACACGTATAAAACTTCAGGAAAATCAAGATAATGATAGTAATGAAAGGATTTTTTAAAAAATCAATAGAATTATGAATATATTTTTTTAATCCTAGGATCATCAGGATGCGCCCCTTAAAATATGCGATCAATTAAGAAGCTTTAGACAAAAATTACGGCTATCAAGTTTACTAATTATTCTATAAACGGGTAGGAAAATTATGAGGGTAATATTTGGTTTCGCGAAGTTCTAGGAATGTTATCCAAAAGCTGTTTTACGTATTACTAAGCAAACAAAATGAACGGAAACATATCTATCGATGCAATATTCTTCGAAAACAGACTTAGTATAAGATATTGTTGCAGTCTAAAGAAGATAACGATGAAATTCAAAACGAAGAATTAGGAAATGAAGCAAATCTACTCCTGCAATGGACCGTGAAAATTGGACGTTATGCAAAGCACGTTGCCCTGCAAATTCTGTAACGGTAGAATTCACAAAAAGACACTGTCATTTTCTGCCTAACATTTTGCAAGGTCTTGGAAGCATTTCATTTCTTATTTGCAGGTGAATGTGAACAGCCAAGTCAGGGTTAGCTAAAAAAAATATTACTTAGTCATTAACTCATCCGTGTCATTTGTTTTGATGTGTCGCAGAGGCTAAGTCAACCACAACTTCGTACAATACATTCTTCCACCTCGCTCTGTTTTATGAGTCTGAGCGCGAATCAACGGAAGACCGACAAAACAATTAGTTATATGTCAGTTGTGGTTGTAGACTTTGAAAAATTTATGGCTTCTCTTCTCATATTTGTTAAAGAGGCTTCAAACAGTTGTCGAAGAAGTACCACAAAGCAACATGGCTTTGTTTTCGCTTAGTTTCAAGCAATTATTTATCAATTTTCCAATGGGTGTCGTTTTATATTTGGAACTAAAAACTGCACATTCGAATGGTAAGTTTTACAATAAATGTTTACATAATACTTTACTTTTTATTTATAGCGATTTATTATATTTTATACAATCTGTTGTGCTTCAAGTACCTGGATGATTTTCATTTGACTTAGAAATAACAGCTTTATAAGAATTAATATTGGTTAAGCAATTAATATAATTTTTA